TAAACATCTCATTTTAAATATAAAAAATCTAAAATATAATTAGGATAATTATTGAGTTCTAACAGAATACTTRATTATTATMTTTATAAAATGTTATATTATTAAACCAAAAATAAATTATTTYATTATTAAACTTAAATTAAATTATAATAAAAGAAATAAATTAAAGAAATTACATAAAAATAAAAAAATTTAAATAGTTGATTTCATATTAACATTGATATTTTTTTTCAAAATTCTATGATATCTTCAAAATTATATTTTATTCAAAAATAAAATCATTATTGCTTTCTTAAAAACACATAAAATTGTATTATAACCTCGACAGAGACAAAAAAATAAAATATAACATTAAAATCGAGAAGTATTTCGCTGCATTGCTCGTATACGCTTATAGTATTATATCATATATTTGTATTCTTATCTGTTAGGCTAATTAAAATAGATAACCAATAAAAATATGAAGCTATAACAATAATTTAAAAAGTCAAACTAAAAATTCAACCAATAAAAATGGGTCCAAAATTGAATCAATGCAGAAATAGATTGTGATGATAGTAATGTATATGGTAAGCAAAGTCCAGCAATAAACCAATACTAACCATCCACAATAAGCAAAGTAGAGATAGAGAGTGACACTCCACTCTATCAATTGATTACTACAATGTTTGGAACAACCTTATTATATATTTACAATGTTTTGATTGGTTTGAGCTATGCTCTAAAGGTCAAAAGTAACTGGAAGTCTCAGGTTCAAATCTAAGGAAGAATAAAAATCCTCTTGTGGCCACGGAGGTTCAAATGCGGTGACTTCGGCCTATCTGCAAAGCTAGTGGTCGTCCTAGGATTAGTCGGCTCGCATAGCGGGTTAGATATCCAGGTTAATAAAAAAAATGGTTCTTGGGAATATTTTGAGTGTATGAGGCATGGTCATATAACTAGATAGACATCAATATGGTCTAAAAATCGACATAAAACTCATCTGGATGTGATCTTAAGGTCGGACGTCCAGCTCGTCAAGTTCTTATGACGTTGAACATAACCTTGGAAAGGTTGTCTCCGAGCTCGCATAGGTCAACATGGTCATGCTGAACAATAAGGCACGACCATGCAAGAAAAGATAATGTCCAGTTCATGATAATACTACATGTTCGTGCAGTATCCCTTTGTAAAAATGACCCAACTGTTTGGAACCGGGGAGGAGGATCTGTAGGCATACTTCAACATAATCGAACTTATATTACACATATCTTAAACAAAAAAAGTAAAACAACATGAATATTTTGAATGAGGTGGTCCAGATTCAAACGTGACTGTTCTCAACCTGTATATAGCCGATTTAGTTTTGCCAAAAACGTAGTCACTCTTATTATTTTAACTGTTGGATTTAAATAGATATGAATGATTCACATGGGTTTCCTTGTCCTTTTTTAGTGTTCTCTTTTGAACTCACATATACATGGGTTGGGTTCCGGTGGAAATGAAAGTTAAGATGAGAAGCGTAAGAAGAGATCTGAACATTTGATCACTTTTAATCTCAAACTCACCCATGAATCGCGCTTGATATATGGATTGATCTGGTACATCTCATCCTAATATACATCAAACGATAGATATCTCTTCTTACGTTTCTCACGAAAACTCAACCCTAAAATTTTTATTTTTTGTCTCACATAAGTTAGAGTGAACTTATTGTTTATAAAAGGAGTGTAATATTTTGGTTTCAATTTATATTTTATAAAACATTATTTTTTAATAAAGAATTATAGTAGTTTATAAGTTTTCTTTACAATAAAAATTTATATTCCATTTATCTATACTATATTATAAAGTATTTGACAAAAAAAATTAAAAATCATTTTTTATGGATGAAGTACTGTTTATTGATGCATATTACTTAAAATTTAAGATTATACGTAAATTGTACATTAGTATGACTTATTAAAACTTCATATTTTGACTAACTGCAAATAAACATAATCAAATATTGGATAAACATCTCATTTTAAATATAAAAATCTAAATATATAATTAGGATAATCATTGAGTTCTATCAGAATACTTAGTTTTTATCTTTATAAAAAATTATATTATTAAATCTAAATTAAATTTGTTTGTTATTAAACCTAAATTAAATTATAATTAAAAAAAGATGAATCAAGAAAATTACATCAAAACACAAGAACTTTTAAAAATATTAATTTGATATTGATATTTTTTTTTAAATTTATATTATATTCAAAAATAAAACATTATTGTTTTCTTAAAACCATATAAAACAGTACTATATTGACATAAAAAATGAATAAAACGAAACATTGAAATTAAGATGTGTCTCGATACATTGCACGAATATCATTCTAGTAAGATTAATAGCAATTAATATTGAAAGATATTTGTTCTCATCCAATTAAAAATCATACACGTTTTAAACCGTTCGTCGACTTATAAGGTTGGAAAGCGTAAACTAAGCATGGGCAGGGCCGACATTAATTACGGCATTCATTAGTAGTTTGCTAATTAATTAATCTTAATTAATGCTATCGTAATCAAATGCGTGTCATTACATAATTTCTTGACAATTACATCACGTCTTACTTCAATTTGCATCTTCTACTTTCATTTTCTTCATTTATATAACAAATTTTATGTAAACTCTTAATTAAATATCGAAGAATACTGGTTAGACGATAATTATTAAATAAATGATAGATATGAAGGGAAAAAAATTGTATCTGATAACCACAAGAGTGGTTCTTGATTGGTTTGAGCTTGACTCCAAAGATCAAAAGTACTTGAAGGTCTCAGGTTCAAATCCAATAAGCAATAAAAATCTCTTTGTGGCCACGGAGGTTCAAATGCGGTGACTCCGGACCATCTGCAAAGCAGGTGGTCGTCCTGGAATTAGTCGGCTCGCATAGCGGGTTGGATATTCAGGTTAATCAAAAAAATTTGTACATGATTTAAATGTGTACAACAATAAACTCGAAATGGTATGGACTTATATTCAATCAAATGTCATATATGAACATTTCGATAAAACTTATGAAATTTATTTGATATCTGATAAATAACATAAATTAATTAATATTATAAGTTCAAGAATTATGAAGATGTGACAAATGTATGACAAGTTAAATTGGTTTATATGTAATTATAAATGTGGTGTAAACGGAATAATTTCTTAGAATTTATAATTGATTCTCAAATGCTATATAGCAATTTTAATTAATTTTAAGAAATGGAGGTGGTAGACTTAAATGGTTATAATATATAATTTTTGTTTCTGTTTATAATAAAGCAGAATACATAATTTTTTAATCTAAAACTATATATATATATATATATATATATATATTTGTTTCATAATGTCTTTGTTTCACGTGTATTATGTTCATAATGAAATTTTTTGTTTGCATTTTTTGTTTTACATACACATAAAAAAATGTTCACGTTCTAAAATAAATGTAATGCGCAACAAATATATGTTAATCAATACAGTAAATTCAAGTTGTTATAAAAAAAATCATTTGAAAATAACACATGATATGCACTGGTTCTTAAAGTTGTCATAATTTAATGAGTTCTCAAATAAAAGTCCAAGATTTAAATGATTATAACTATGAGGGCAAAATCAATGAGAAGAGGAGAAACAATCTGAATCACCTACCTCATGAAATTTTATGGTTGTGATTAACTTGCTAAAATTAGTAACATTAAAATAATTTGTATTTAATTCTCTAAAAAATCTCATTATATATTTAATTATATTATATCATAAATTAAATTATATCTTTAAAGTATATCAATATTCTTTTTCCAATTTATCTTATTCATTATTATTATTTTTTTTTGATAAACATTTGATAAAGAACTTTTTCATGATTTTTCTCAAAATCACATGCAGTCAGATATATGTATGAATCTATTATCACATATTATATATATAATATCATATATAATAATAACATATTGTCACATGTGATTATTGTTTCAGAGTAACATATGCATATAAAACAAATATCACATTGACATTGTTGATAGCATATTCATTTCGTGAAAAGTGTAAATTGTCCATAATACCACATGTGATATTCGTTGATTATGAATCATTAGTACATATCACATGTGATATTGAACCGGTTAAAAAAATCATTGTTAAAGTCACATATGATAATACATAGGACGGAATATAAGAATCTGATACCAATATTACATGTGATAATACAATGATAAAATACGTAACTTATTACAAATATCACATATGATAATTTATAAAGTAAAGAATAGAAAGATATTAGTAACATTAATAAAACATATTATTAATTAATTCTACTAAAAGGAGATGGAAACTCTTTAGGATTTAAAACTGAATAAATATTCATTAAAAACTCACATACGAATTTGCTTACTTTTACAAGTAATAAAAAATGTTGTTTTATTTAACAATATTAATTATTTGAGTTAATAAAACTTAGAGTAAATAATTAAGAAAATACAAAAAAAATTATTATTTTATGTATTTTTTCCATATAGAAATTCTAAGTAATTCAATATTTTAATAAAAATAAAAATTCAAAGTTTTTGTGTTGGCTTATTGGGTGCAAGTGCAAGTCATATGTTTCTAGTCCAGTTTCATACCTGAGTCAGTTTATGTTGAACTTTTCTAGAAACAACTGAACATTCTGGGAAGCTCTCACTCGCGGCGCGCCACTAACGACTCACTCACTCGGTATGGCTTACGTGGGTCATGACGGCTGGTTCTCTACTTTTTCCACTTTCATACCATGATTCTCTACTTTTTCCACTTTACCCCCCTGCTTTTTATATTTTTCTATCCCAACCCACCCACCCACATGTCTTCAAACTTCAACTCCCAAGTGCCGTGCCCCACAAGCAACTAAGGTCACTTTCGTCATTCACACCTCCTTGGTCAAACTAAGATAAGTCAACACTTGTCACCTATAAATACCATATCCCACAATCAACTCTTTACTACTTCATTCATTCATTCAACCTTCATTTGCTTACAAAACCCTACTTTTTGCTTGCACACTTTTACATCAACACTCTTCATCAAAATCCCACTTTTTCTTTTTACTATATTTCGTAAATCGAATCCTAAAACGACGAGTTTTGAGTCCGATTTATCGAGAAAGATGGTGTGTATGCCGATGAAAAGATCGAGAGAAGATGGACTAGACACGTCCATAAACAACATGGCAAATTATTTGATGCTTCTTTCGAGAGGAACCACAAGCACGGAACCGTATGATGCCAGCTTGGTGAGTCGGGTTTTTGAGTGCAAGACGTGCAACCGTCAATTTCCGTCTTTCCAAGCACTTGGTGGACATAGGGCTAGCCATAAGAAGCCAAGGCTTCTTGATGGAGACATGATGGATCATCATGATCACAGTACCATCTCACCGGCTAAACCCAAAGCCCACAAGTGCTCGATTTGTGGGATTGAGTTTGCCATAGGACAAGCTTTGGGTGGACATATGAGGCGGCATAGGACGGCAACAACGACGGAGAACCACTCTCCTCCACCACTGGATTTGTCAACGCCGGTGGTGAAGAAGGTGAACAGCAGGAGGGTGTTTAGTTTGGACTTGAACTTAACACCGTTGGAAAATGGCTTCGAGTTTAGAGTTGATGATGAGAAGAGGACTCCAATCACGGTTGACTTTTTCTTATAATGGGAATTTAATTGATGTATCATTGTTGAGATATTATACCATTTTTTGTTTCGGAATCTATAGGACAGATTTTAATTTTAATTTTGTGAGGTAGACAAAGTTTTGATTTTGATTATTGAAATTAATTTATTTATATATACACGACCACACAATCCATATTATCTGTTTCAATCATATTTGATATATCTCATGAATCTTAAATTCATTCTTCTTCGTCTTCAAAGAACATTATATCGAGTTATATATATATATATATACATATACATATACATATACATACACACACATATATATTTATATATGTATATATGTGGTTGGACGGAATTCCCTTGTG